TTTAGAGCTGCTATTAACACAGACTTCAATTGCTGTCCTATTTTTTCCCCTTGAGCAGTGAAGCAGTTGCCATGGAAACTGAATCCAATACCTCTCTCTAGAGCCTGACATCAATGCAATTTGATGAGAGGGACTCACATACTACCTCCCATCTCTATCTTATAAGGCTGAAGATCTATTACTTCAAAATGATGCAAGTCATTACCGGGGTAAGGCATACTTGATGAAGTATGTGTATGACAGCTTGTCCAAGAAGATATATCAGAGTTTTCATATGGAAATAATTCCCTAGTCAGAGTTGAAGAAAGGTTTTAAAGCTTGAATTGACTAAAAATTTCATGTCACAAAGGTAGATTTTATCTAAAGGAAATAGTAAGCATTATTTTAATTGGTGTGACTCAGTCAACACAGAGGCATAGCCTTGTAACCTTTCTCAGAGAACTCTGATGGTGATTATATAGGGCAAGCATTATCCTCCCAACTCCACCTACACAAAAATAAGATTTGAAGTGTAATTCAGGTAGATTGATGGAGGAGGGAGTAGTAAGTTCCCAAACATCTCTCGTTGAGAATGTCCTGTTAGCCAAGGGAATATTCTGGAGAAGGTTGTAGCTCTGGGTTTTTAGCTTCTATACTCTGAGCAGCTGAGGGAAGGGTGTGCTGATTACGTGAAGAAAACAGTGGGGAACAAACAGCATCAGTAGCATCAGTAGAAATGATTCAGTTCTGTGTTTCCTTTGGCAGCATATATACTAGAAATGATTCAGTTCTTAAACTCTCAGGTGAAACATATTTTCATAGTATAAGACCAAATTTTGACCCTCTTAGCAATCCAGGATCTTTTATTTGGTGACTGGATGTGCTATGATGGATATTTCTATCCTGTGTTGTTTACACAGAGTATATCTCTTAGATCTATCTCTGAGGGTAATGTAGGTTCACCCAAGGACATGATCTAGAAGATAGCAGGATGGGATAGATGCAGTAACAGAGGGGAAGTGGGATCCAGATTACAATAATACAGCCAGCAGTGTCAGCAGATACCTAAAGCACAGTGACCTAAGCAAAGCAGGTAGTGGGTAGATAAGCCACAGCCTAGTAATCATACAGGTATTGAATCTTAAAAAAAAAAAAAAAAAAAGTACAAAAAGAAGGTCAATAAACTAAGATCAGTAACAGAAACAGAAGGGGGGATGAGACTGGACTTAAAGACAGCTATTGGGATCCCACCCTAACTGATTCCAGCAAATTTTCAGGGAGAGTTGTGTCTTAGTGCAATATTTTTTGATTGGACAAGTACAAGGCTTATTTTTGGTTTTGATTGTTTTTTATTATGTGTTTGTGTGGTTTGTAATTCTGGCCCTCTCAAAATACTGTTGTAAAGATGGCATGCAATGTATCTGTTCTTGGTCTAAGATATCTCTATCTCTGAAGAATAAATAGGAAGATATTCCCTGATCTAGTTCCAAGATGATTCCCCCAAATGCTCTGGTTGCCACTGTTTTATTCTTTGCTATAATAATCCTGTCCTTCATTCTAGCCCCATCCTAACTATTTTCAAGAAACATTTAGGTCTCATGATTTTTCTAGGAGATAAAGTGGTCAATGTTATTAATGGAGTTTGTTTTGCATACCACTAGGTATGGAATATATCTTGTCAAGACATGTACAGGCTTCCTAACTCTGAATACCTCCATAAGAAAGCCAGCCCACACTTGGCCCATTTCTGTAGGACCCATAGGCATTGAAGATTGCCAGGTTCTCTGCAGGGCACCAGTCAGGACTGTTTTCTTGCTTTCTTCAAACTAGGCCCCTATCCAAGTGACTGGGTAAAGATCTTGTTCTTACTTGATTTGTTTTGGACAGAATTCCTGACCTGCTTTCACTTTACTTGACTCTGACTTCTTTTTGCCTTCATTACTGCCCACCATGGGTGCCCCCAGTACATTCACTATATCAGTCTTGCTTTCTTACACATCCTTATTTTTATAATCCTACTATGCTCCACTCTCTCACCCTATTATAGGACAAGGAGACTGGTTTGAGTGAAGGAGTGTCATGGAAGTCAGACGAGAACACATAGAAGCAATAAGGCCTCATAGGCCATTGTAAGTTGTCAGCTGAGGAGAGTCTTCAGATGAGAAGTGAAGATGGTCTAAAAATGATGGGAGAGGATCACTCCGGTTGTTATTTTAGGAGCAAACTAGAGAAGAAGAAAAAGTGAAAGTAGGAAAACCATCTGCCCACCATGGAATAATTCAGATTGAGATGATGGAGGCTTGATCCAATGTGCTCTAGTAGAGGCAGTAAGTAGTAGTCAAATGTGTGTGTGTGTGTGTGTGTGTGTGTGTGTGTGTGTGTGTGTGTGTGTGTAAGGATTTCCTGACAGATTAGGTATGGGGTATAAGGAAAGGAATGGGGAGAGAGAAAACCAACTCTTTGGCTTTTGGTGTGAGCAATTATTTAAACACGTACATACTATTTCAGGTAATCATTATTGTTCCAGGCATTACTCTACTTTGCCAATCACAACTCAGTTAATTCTCACAACAACCCTATGAGATGTCTATTATTAACAACCCCAGTTTATAGATGAGTAACTTGATGCACCGTTGCAATGACTTGTGCAAGGTCCCAGTGAATGTTGTTGCCAGCAGTCGAGATGAATCATTGCGGGAATGGAACAGACTGCAAGAAGGACTAGGAGCTCCATTTTCCCTTTTTTTAGGTCTGGTAGACCATGAACTATCCACCTGAGCAAGTTCAGAACACATTTGCTTTCAGCTGGTATTGGTCATGGTGCACACTTCCTGCGAGAGGTTCCCATGGCTTGGTCTTCCACTGGCAATAGTGGTATGCATGCTAGTGAGTGTTTGCCCCCAGGGGAAAGACAAGAAGACCTTCTGCTGAATATCTGATGTGGTATAGCTATTCCCGCAATAGGCAATTCAAGCATCATTTTATTGAAAATGGAGTTTGGAGATCATGCACATGATCTTCCCTCAGCTGTGGGATGCCACTAACTGGATTCTTTGCAATCATTTTATTTTTTTAAAGATTTATTTACACAAGAACTGGGGTGTAGGCCAGATGTGCGGGAGGGTGAGAGGATTCACCAGAGACAGAGTGGGGAACAAAAAAGGCAGACTGACTGAAATCCACTGCTGAGGGGAGCAGCAGGTGAGTCAGGAGAGGTCTGCCTCGCCATGTGGGATTCTTCCTGACTAGCCAGGATCAAACCCGCGCTGCAGAGGCTGTGGACAGCTTCACAGTGCTGCTTTCAACTACCTGCGCCACCAAGGAGGCCCTGCAATCATTTTTAAAGTGCTAAGACCATCTCACAATAGTAGTTCAGGGTTCCCAAATGGGGAAGAGAGTTTGTAGTTGGATATGTAGTCAAGAGGTTGGAAAATAGTTGAGACTTGACCTAGAAATGGAAGTATAGATGATAAAGCAAGAACAGACAAATCTAAGGACATGAAATAGTAAAGGGACCCTATGCTACCAGAGAGTGAAATGGTTGAAACAGTGATTCTTGGTTGGTGGCCCAAGAGTCCAAAACACAGATGACCAGGATAAAAACCTGCAGAGATATCAGTCAGTAGGAGTCTCAGCAGTAGGTAGAGGAAGAAATCTGGTTAGTGTAGAAAAGATGTGTCAGAGTGCTCCAATAGAAGGCAAAGTGGAAATGCTCAATCAGAGTGTTTTGCCAAATGACTACTTCTACAAAGTACAAACTATCTGCTTCTGAATCTCTGGAAGGCACTCCATAAAATATTTCTGGTGCAGTGTGTCTGGATTGCATCAAGGAAATGGGTGCTTCTGAAAAGGCCTTTATGTGATTTATACACAATATCATTCTGGTCCATATTCGAGGCAGAAAAAGCCATGATATCAAGGAGTCCCAAAGGCAAATAGAAGGTACCTGTTTATGTGATTGGAGATTAGGGCCAGGACAGCAAATGATTGAAAGGAAAAATGCTACAGAAAGGAGAGAAGAAGACCCCAAAAGAATAGTTCTGTTCCCGGATGAAGTGGAAACCGTGTTAAGAGGTTTGGGGGGTCCTCAGTCCTTTACTACGGCATAAACAAATTCAAAGCCACATCCAAGTAAAGCAAAGCAAAGTTTACTAGAGACAGAATGAAAATATGCTCAGGAAGAAATCCAGGAGGGCAGAGACCTGGGAAGAACTGCACGGAAATGTCAGGGGTCTCCTGACTTTTATGGGGTCACCAGTCTCATCTCAGGCTGTGTCCCTGCTCCACCACTACTTGGGGGAGGAGGGGAGTAAACCAGAGGGAGTTGCTGTAGTGGCTGAAAAGTCACTGGGAGTTATACCCTTATTTGGGAGGGAGGATGCATTTTGTGTTTTTTTTTTTTCAGGGAGTTGTCTGGCCTCTAGGGTAATTGCCTTATCCCCACAAACAGGCCAATTTTGAAGAGTTGTCTCCCTCTCTGGGTGCTTTTTGCTCTGCTCAGGCTTTATCAGCTTGCTCGCAGGTTGGGGTGGGGACTGCTTTCTCCCCTGGGCGTTACTTGGTTCTCCCTGGGTTCTATCAGCTCTGGCAACTGTCCCTGGGGTCCTGGCTATAGTCGGCCATTAATTTTTTTTACACTTTGCCCTCCCTGCCCTAAATGTCTAATAATAGCTGTAGTTTCCCTTAACAAGAGGACAGTATTTTCAATATGTTGAATATCTTGTGCTCTTAGAGCACCAAAGGAAGCCAAGATAATGTGGTCAATTATTAGTCAAGTCTGTAGGAGACAGTTTTTGCCTTTAATTGATTCTGACAAAACAACTCATCTCAGACAATAAATTTAAACCTGAAAAATTCCCTAGGGCTCTAGTTCTCAGAAGGAATTTTGCACACTTAAGACAGTTATGTGCTATATAGCACATAGCACACATTATGAAGTAAGAGATGAGTAGATTGTGAATCACACAGGCAGGGCCTTAAGAGCTAAAAATCCTCCTATATATTTCTTCCCTACTGGGCAGGAAATCAAGTGATGGACTAGCAACATATCAAGGACCCCAAGATTTGTCTTGAGTAACTGAAATAATGGAGTTGTCATTGACTGAGAAGGGGAGGAGAATAAGAAGTCTAGGGTAAGTTTGATTTTTCTTGAAGACGTTCAAATGGAGATGTCAAGTAATCTTCTAGACATAGGGGACTGGATTTCTGAAGAATATTCTGAGCACTCCAATGCTAATAGGTCAGGAATGAAAGGAGGGACATGAAAGCAGTGTGTCAGGCTAGATGCTCTCAAAGACTTTCTTACTTGAAATATAAACCCAAGCAGATTGAGAAAGCGCTCTTCAGAGGAGGAAGAAAATCAGGAGAATGCAGTATTCTATAGAAGTCATGCCAATGAAAAGCATCAGAGAAGGTAAAAATCTTCTGTGACAGATGCTGCTGAAAAATCACAAAAATAATGACAGAGAAATTAGCCACCGGATTTAGCAGTGTGGCTGCCATCATAATTATGACAAGTCCCATGGAGTGATGACGCAGAAGGTTAAAGTTGTACCATGAATGCCAGCAAGAAGAACAACAAGTTAGTAGGACAATGGCCTGGAAAACAAAGGCTGCCTCTTAAGACATAGCATTTTAGTACTTCGATGGATCCATGCTCATAATATCCTGTAAGCCCCACCCCTGCCCCCACACAAAGGGATACCAAGAGATAATGGAGGAATTGGGAGGCTATTTAATAAACCGAGCACTATTTGTCTTTTTTATTTTTGCCAAGAGAGATATAGAATCAGATAAAGCTTTTGTTTTAAAGAACAGCTCAGATGAAGCTGTTTTTCCTTCTTACCAGCAGGTGGAGAGATAGACCAAATGAACTACAGACAAAACTAAAGGGATAACATTTAATCCTTAGTTTGGGTTTGTGGCCGGTATTAAGTTTATGACCTTCAATGGGTTGAATTTTCATTTAAAATTTTTCCAACTTTACCTAAATATAATTGATAAATATACAGAGGCCAGCAAGATGGCGGCAGAGTGAAGATGCCCAGCTTGCCTTCTCCATATAACCAGTTACACTATAACAAAATCAACAACACCTAAAAGTTAAATAGATGGCTAATATGTACACAGAGCAATGGTTCAGCTGAAAGAAGTTACAGGAAAAACTGTAACTGAATTGTATTTGCAGCAATACTACTTCAAATTGCTATATGGGGCAATTGCTATATGGAGCCCCCCAAATTTGTTGATTCAGGGTACATCAGAGACTTTGAAGACCCAGAGCTGCCCTGGAGAAGGTGGTACAGAGAGTAGGCATGCTGGATAGAGGGTGCTCTACTGGAGAGCTAGAGGAGTAAGGGTGCAGAGTCATGATTACTAGTATGAGCCTGAAGTTCTCAATCTAGAAAAGTTAGAGCCAAACTGGTGGGCAGAGCTAGTTTGGATCACCTTCATTGAAAAGGCTACTGTTGGGGGCCTCCCTGGTGGCTCAAGGGGTTAAGACACAATCTATGAAGCTGTCCGCAGCCACTGCAGCACGAGTTCCATCTCCCAGCAGGCCAGGGAGCTACCCACATGGCGCAGCAGACCTCTCCTGACTCGCCTGCTGCTCCCCTCAGCAGTGTACATCAGTCAATCTGCCTGTTCTGTTTCCCATTCTGTCTTGGTGAATCCTTTCACCCCCCACACCTCTGGGCTGTACCACAGCTCTTGTATGCATAAATAAATAAATCTTAAAGAAAAAAAGAAAGAAAGAAAGAAAAGGCTACTGTTGGTGCCAGAGGCTGTGCCACTCAAAACATCAGTCTTACCACCACCCAGGGTCAAAACCAAGATGACAACTGAAAGTTCTCACTAACCAGAGCTTAAGCACCTGGGTCTTAACGACAGGAGCACACTCTCCGGGGTAAGACTCCGTACTCGAAAAGGAAAGAACACAATTTCCAGCCTGAAAGCCTGTCTCAGTTATAGTTGTCACCCAACAGTGCATCCAGTGCTCAGCCTAGAGGATGGCTGATCTCCCCATTCAGTGAGGGTCCCTGCAGCACAGTAGGAAACTTGAACCTTTGCTGCTCACTGGAGGTGACTGTTCAGGGCCCAACTGTCCCGCTTCCTTCCCTCCTATTACCCCTTATCTGTACCAGTGCCCAAGATATCTGAACAGGTACAAGATGGTAAGCAGTCTGTGAAATAGACACCTGAAGATCCTGGATTAAAAATTAGAATTGAACCCAAGTTTTTACAGAAAGAATATAAAGCCAATTTATTAAGGTCAGAAAATGAAACTCCCTATTATAACCCATAAAAATTAAGAATTTAAGAATTGAACAAGATAATACAGCTAAGCATTTTCATGTAGTCCTTGCTAGTAAATACACAATAATTACTAGCTATGATGAGTGTTACTTTCCACCACCCAGGAGGTTTTCTTTTGGAACCCCTCAGAACCTTCTTTCTTTACTAAGTGGAGCCCTTGTTAGGTTTCATCAGTGACGCTCATCAGTGCCTTCTATGACCTTTGTCCTCTGTCCTTTGATGGCAAGTTGTTTCATGTGCCAATGTGTGTCTCTCAATAATCAGTGTTGTGGCTGGGCCAGCCTTAGTGGTTCTAATTATGATTACAGGATGCCCTTTAGCCATAACCATCAAGAAACTGGAATAAAAATAACGGATTATTATTTACAGGACTGGAAATAATTATACAGCACACCTGGGGTCAAATAATGAGGTCACACAGAGAGAGCTCACATGTGTGGGCTGGGATTCTGCTTTTACTGAGTCAAGGGTGGGGACCTAGGGCTTTGTGTATTTGCTCTTTATTGGCAATTTCATAAGAGCTGAAATTGAAAGTACAGGAAGAGAAAAAACAAGAGGCCCAAATGAATACTAAAATCATCCAAGTCTCTAAAACAAAGGAGCCCTCTTGGGGCAGGAGGGAGAAGGTGATGACCCCTGGCCCTTTGCTGGGAAGATCCTCTTTGAAGTGAATGCCCTTTTTGAACTAGATGAGTCAGCATCAAAGGCAGCTGCATTACAAAAAAGAAAAAAACTGCCAACATTTTCACTACACAAGTATTATGTGTATTCATTGACTAGAAATACTGCCGAAGAGAAATCACAGGTGATTTTGAGAGCATGTCTATTCACTGAGGGCGATTTAAAGACCATTTTCACAAAAGTCTATCCTGGCTCATCAATTTTGTGATGAGTAAAATGAAGTAAAAGCTTCTAATTACATGTGGCACTGTGAGAAGTTTTGTTTCTAAAGACAGATGCTAGATTATCTTGTCAGGCTGTTCCTTTGTTTTTAGGAAATCGACAAGCCCTTTATATAAATTTAAGGGAAATCTTTGACTCACCAACATTGTGGTAACCTAAAGGCCATCATCATGTAAGGTAGAATCAGAGCTAGATCTCTGAGAATATGGACTTCATTTCTATTATTATTATTATTATTATTATTATTATTATTATCATCATCATCATCACTGGTTGATTTATTTGTTGTTTTTTTTTAATTTTGCTTTTGTTTAGTACACATTTTGAGGGTTGCTTATAGGAGATAAGGCACAGAAGACAGAAGCAGCTTTACTGAGCAAAAGCAGAATGTCAAGACCCAGAAGACATCCTAGTAAAGAGAGACTTCCTCTGAGGTACATACTAAACAAAGCTCTGCTCCCTTGGGGAGCTGCAGCCTTGGGGAATGGGGAACAGTGCCACATCCCCACCAGCCGTGGCCACAGGACATCTCTTCTGGCTACTCAGATGGCAGTGGTTGTTAGTGCAGGGAAGCTAGAGTCAAGGAAGAATATGGGAGTGTGTGCACCTGTGACACCTCCCTTGAGACTGGCACACTCACTGCATGACACTTGGAAGCTGAGTTCTTGTACACTTTAAGGCACAATGTTGCAAGAGATATTATAATTTGAGCATTAAAAATATAGGATGTTCGTTTTATGTATTTAAGATTGGCAAATATTTCTTCGATCCTCCCTATGTTTCAATTGTAAAATATGAGGCCCAAACTCTTCTAGTATCTTAACCAAAATGACTCGGGAAAGGACAGCGACTTATGCATCAATATTTTGAACTACAGCAAGTTACAATAATATAGAACATAAAAAGAAATTAGCTTGGACTAAGAAAACAAAAATCTTCCCTACTATCATTATTTCGGAATCAGAACTGCAGATAAAGTCAGGTGCAAACTTACTCAATAACAGTGTTTCTCCCCAGTACATGCTGCAGTCATAGAATGCCATAGCAGCCCTATTCTTAAAGAGTGTCTGAAGATTTCTCATGGAGATATCTCCTTCATTAAAAGCACAGATTATCAGAAACAAATTATTTCAGTAAGAATGAAACTTCCCACTTCTGTCTGCGGGAGCTGCACAGCACAACACAGGAAGCCGCCTTGATTTACAATCCACAGGTAGAGCTTCAGGCTCGGGCCTCTGGACAGAATACTTGACGTTTTACCTTTGCCTCCATGAACACAGAAGCACAGGTCTATTTCACAGTCCAGACCCGATGGTAACCCCTTTGCATTTATCAACACTGCTCAGGAGAAAGACAAATCCCTGCTGATTCACGAATATGTGGACTAGAAAGAAAGAAGATAAAGGAATAGACAAAATTAAAGCAAGACAAATCCTAGAAATCTAAATATAGAATTGAGGTTACCAGAAAGGGAGGGGAGGATGGGGGTGAGGAGGAACAGGGGAGGGGACACAATGGGCTGTGGTGGGGGATATCTGTGCTTTGGCATTAGGCGGAACATGATAACAAATCTAAAGAGGTGTGGCCTGTACCGCTAAGGCATAAACAGTGCTGTAAACTGGTCACCTCAATTCAAAACAACAAATAACAGTTTAAAAAAATGAATTTGACATGATGGAAACATAAAAAAATAAACATAATTTTCAAATCTAAAAAATACTCCTTCATTTGCATTTCACCTAAACGCCACACTTTTGCCAAGTCCTATTATAACTCATTACCTTACTTTGGTAAAACAACCACAGTTCCTTTGATGTCCAGTCCCCCAATTTCAGTGAGGCGGTGAACCAGAACTAGTAGGTCTACAGAACTAGTAGGTCTACCCTCGGAGGTCTGAAGCTGATTGGGATAGGAAAAGACTCTATCTTACATTTTAAATTTTCAGCACACTTAATCATATATATTTTATGCTACTCTAGTCCATAAGCAGAAGTAATAAAATAATCTAATTGCAAACCAAAGGATGTTTAGAGCATAAAAATTTCCATGCTACAGAGACCAAAGAGGAATAAAACAAATCAGTCTTTGAAATTAAAAAAAAAAACCACAAACACATAATTGGTTTTCTTTCTCTTTCCTAAAACTCTGGCTCTAATTCTGGCTCTAATAATACAGTAATGATCAAAAGGAGGGACTTTTTCCTCCTTAATCATCTGACCAAGAAAGTAATAGGACAATGATCACTGTCTCACTTAAAAAGATTTTGTAAAAGTTAAAATGCTTAAGAACCTGCCAAGAACCTGCCTATTTCACTGCAAAGCAGGGCAAGAAAATCAGAAGAGAGAACGCACAAGCATCTTTTCACGTTCTTGCAACTGCGCCTATACTGTTGCAGTGCAGCTAATCAGGGCTATTCCCTCTGCTTTCGCACTGGATTTCCTTTGCTTGCATGCAGGCAAGGACATTGTTTCAGTGATTCTCTCCTTTCTTCTCCCTGTTCATCCACCTCCAGGACAGCCCCAATGACTCCCAACTCCCGATATCCACACCATCACACAGCTTCCTCTTGCACTGAGTCAGGGATGAACCTGTGGCCAACAGAACTCTGCAGAGGGATGGTGTGTGACCTCAGAGGCTAGGTCATAAAAGACAATGACGCTTTCACCTGTTGGGTTTCTCACTCTGAGGAAAGTCACACCATGTCATGAGAACACTCAAGCAATACTAGGGTGAGGCCCATGAGAAAAGGAACTGCGGTTTCCCACCAGCAGCTGGAGTCAACTTGTCAGTCATGTAAGTAAGCCACAGCGGACATGGAGCCGTAGGCCCAAAAACATCTCCAGTCACTGGAACCTCACACAGGATCTCACTGCAGCTTATGAGAGACTCTGAGAACCCTAAATCTTGAACTATAGAAACTGCTCAAATACGTGTCTAATGTTCTTAAAGTCATCACATTTTGGAGTAATTTGTTACACAGCAATAAATAACTAATACATCTCCTGTGATCAAAATATTTGGTGACCCCCATTGTCCCCAGAGTTTAAGTCTTCTCAATGACCACAAGGCCCTTAGATCTTACTAACTCCCTGAAATCTCTAATTTCATCTTCTACTGCTCTTTCTCACCACATCAGTTACAACTACAGTGACCTCTTGGCCTTCCCTCAAATATGTTTCAGGGCCATCCTCTCTTCCTTCTCCAATCTCTTCAGGCCTTTACTCAAACGTCTTCTTCATGGTGGGCCTTCCCTGACTACCCTTCCAAAAACGCAGCTTCCTATATATACCCACACACATTCTACATTCTCCTGTCATTTACTTTTTCCCATTGCACAGAACACATATATTCCTTATTGTCTGGTTACAATTATTAGGCTGAAAGCTAAGTGGGTGCAGAGATTTTTGTCAATTCCTAATATCCAGAGTGGTTTTTGATTTATAGTACAAACTCCAAAAAAATTGTCAAATCAATGCCTGAATGTTAAATTTGGAAGATACCCAGATAAAGTATCTTTAAAAGTGCTTCAAACATAGACCATTTGTGACCCACCCCCACTTTATCAAGCTGCCTCTAAAATTTATTGCTCTAAAAAAGTCTTTCCTAAAGAATTGTTTCATAAAAATAGCCATTATATAGGAAGTTTCCTAAACAATTGTTTGCCTTTCTATGTGAAGCTCAAACCAAAATGGAAGTCAATTATAGTAACTATATAGGTCCCCAGAGTCTGGCGTTTTGTTTTGTTTCATCTTGACTTATAGTTCCCAGTTTTCTATCATTTATTCTATTCGCTATATGTTCTCATTCTCTACAGCTCCTTCGAAGACTATATGACATCAGTATAAGTAAATAATGGTGTTAGTGTTTTCTTAAGCTCAGAACGGATCTTTAAATATTGTTACTTCTGTATATTCTACTTATAGAATTGTAATCTCTCCTACAGTTGGAAGATTTGTAGGAGAGTTTTTGACCTTCAGTTTAATCATTTTTTTTTCTTGTGATGGCAGGAGTGACATAGAGGAAGTGAGAAGTTCTAATAATAGGGGTTTATATGCACTATACAATTTGACCCCATGAAAGGGTGAGATATACCGATCAAACAATTGACATTTACAAACAAAGAAACTGAAGTTTCCAGAGAAAAGGGCTAGCAGGTGAGACTAATGTAGAGCTTCTGGTATCTGCCAGAGTCTTCCAGTGAAGACCTTTATGTTTAGCATTAATACAAAGAGAAAATTTTTAATTTAAATGGAAAACCATCCATAATTGGGTTGGCTCTGTGGCATGATGTAAAAGCACTGGACTGGTATAGCCCATAATAAATATCCTCAAGACTGACCCGGTCCCCCAATTCACTTTAAAGTTTCAGGGAATTCACAACAATGTAGCCTCAGTTTCTCTATGAAATTCTGAAGCAAGAATGAATACATGATCATTGAGGTCTCTTATAATTACAAAGTAAAACAACACTAGGCATATTTAGGCTTTTATTTTGGAGATAGTTTATGTGTCTATGTTTATCTCTGAGTGTATATGTGTGGAAAGGGAAATTTATTTCTTTAAAATTCTTCTGAGCCACTCACTTAATCCCCTTTTTTAGGTGAAAGGCCTTAGTTTATTTAATTCTTTACATGCCATGATTCTTTAACTTCCATCAGCTTATCTTACACTGTAATTCAGGAATGTGAGTCATGTTTAAAGCAAGATTTCCTTCCAGGTGTAACCTAGTGTCAATAATTTAAAGGGTACCCCCCTTCCTGGTTTCCACTACGGGGCACAAACTAAAGAGCACAGGCACAGCTGCACAGGCCTGCAAAGAAGTTGTCAGCAACAACAAAAAGTTGTCTCTGAGCAAACCAGTCACTTCAAAAAAAAAGAAAAACAGCTTCAAGTTTTATGGCATGGCTGACACTCCCTGTTCCCAGAAGATAAGGCTCTAAATAGAGTAAATTTTAACAATGCTCTGTGTTTTCCCAGATGCATAGACAACATCAAGTAGATAAATTAACCAGGCCTCTGGCCAGACTTTCTCTGTAAATATCCTTGAAAATGTAAAATGTTTTCCTTGTAGACTATCTAAAATCCTTACTGTAAGTCTCAGAATTCAGGCAGTTTCCCAGGGTAATCTGTACCCAGATTCAAGTCCTTGGTTTTGATTCCTTAATAAACTCAATTCTTTTTAAAGATTTATTTATTTATACATACAAGAACTGGAGTGTAGGCCAATGGTACAGGTGTGAGAGGATTCACCAGAGACAGAGTGGGGAGCAGAACAGGCAGATCTACTGAAATACACTGCTGAGGGGAGCAGTGGGCGAGACAGGAGAGGTCTGCTGTGCCATGTGGCTCAGCTCTCTGGCCAGGGATCGAACTCGGCTGCAGTGACTGGTGATAGCTTCATAGTGCTGAGATTTAACCCCTTGCACCACTGGGGGGCCAAATAAACTCATTTTTTTTAAGGTAACAAAGAATACCTCATTTTTGGATGGTCCTTATGTTTTTTTCCTCCTTATAACTCCACAACCATCACCAACCCCTGGATGTCACAATTCAATGTCACTTTCCTGGAGACATCTTCTTTTAGCTTTTAGTTTAGGATAGGTCCCAGCACTTACACTTTCTTAAAACATTTGGTCTCTATGGGGGGTGGGGGGCAGGGAAAGGAGGGCTTGGGGTCAAAATAAGGGGGTCATAATTGTATGGGGAATATAAAAATAAAATTTAAATAATAATAATAAAATAAATAAATAAAACATTTGGTCTCAAATCTCAATACATATGAGATAAATATACAAATTAATGTTCTGGATGCATTTACACAGGCTTACTAATTACAAGTCAGATTTTGTGCTGTCACACATTAAAGAACATTATTTTACTTAACGTTATTACCTGCAGATAAATGAAGTTTATTGCATATAGTTCTAGTACATTTCAGAACACTTGTGATGTAATATCTACATGGATTGCAATGTTGACTATCTTACAGTGATATGCCTGGTTCTGATGAATTTCTTGATAGTGGAAAAAGAAACCTTAACTCTAGATCTTCTTTCACAGCGATATAAAATACCTGTTTTTTGTTTCATCCATAAATAAATAAATAATCCTGAGCCGTGTGGCTTTTATAGAGGGTGACACATTCAGAAACAGTCATAGCACACAAAAGCCTTTTAGTTGATTGACGTTTGGCCTGAGAACTCCTCATTGGAGCCACGTGGTCACGTGACCGTGTATTCCTGCTGAGCAGCTAGAGGAAGGAGTTTCCCCACCGGCTGCCTTCTGCCTAGGCCTCTGGGTCTCCCTTTACCTCCTGAGTGTGTAAATAATTGTCTCTGCGGGTAGTAAAGGCTGATCTAGCAGCCTCAGCAGGGAAAAAGGCCTCCCGGTCAAGGGTACTTGAGCCTTTCCTGCCCTTCAGACCTGGTACTTAAGTAACTGTCCAGACAAAGTAAAGACTGGCAAAGTTACCCCAGCCACAGAGGGACTAAGGCAGGCGAGTCTCCAGCTGAGAGGAGGAAGTTTCAGCCACCAGTCCGGACGCAGTGAGTACAGCAACTCAAAGGAAACCCAAGCAGCTTTGCAGAGGAATGTCTGCTGAGTTTTCAAAACCTGCTCATAATTAACTAATTTTAACCAAGATGGGCAGAGCTTGCCAGGAGATTTGAGAAAATTAATATGAAACTAAAACTAAAAGGAGCAGCATTGATCAGAACTCACCAAATACAACCCAAAAAAGTCTGCAAAGTTTAAATAACTAAGAGAAAGTTAGAGGAAAACTACTTATAATTAATGAAAGAAAAATACTACAATAGAACAAAATGAAACACAAGTTAATAAAATAAAAGTGGAGACAAATTCTATTATAAAGGAGCTTGAGGCTTAATAGGTTTATTCTAGAAAGAACTGGGACTACAGTACTGGGTAAAATGATTACTTTCCTTTGCCACAAAAATTTCATTAATTAAGAAAGAGGTAAACTCTTTCCTAAAGATAGTAAGCATTGTCAAACCAAACTGAAATTATATCACAAGCATTCTGAAATGTACATACAGAATTGCATGTTATAAATTTCATCTACCTGCAGGTAATGGCTTTAAATAAATTCATGTTCATTCAGCAATCGAAATGCAGTTCATGTCTTTTGATTAGCAATTCAAATTATTCTTTCAATGGGATGAAATCTCAAAAGTTTGGGGCTGTTAGTAATCTTAATAGAGTCATCTTTCACTAAAATAGTTTGCCATTTTGAAGGCAAGGCTTACCACTGAGTGTATAAAGATTTTGTTTCATTTTCTTTTTATTAAAATGCAAAAAATATTGGTTTCTTAGCTAACACCCACTCCTGTGTCTCTTTAGTCCCAAGATGTCCTTGCCAACACCACCTGCCCCTCTGGTATCTTAGCAGCAATCCACCTGCGTGACCCTTGAGCAATACCCCATATAAGCCATGGCAGGACTAAAGCTTTTTCCACCTAACAGTAAAACTATTGTTCATTTTCCTGAAATAGTGTTGTGTCCTGTTTAAAAATGCCTAGGTATCTCTCCCTCAAATACATCCCCCTGGGAGATGTTGTAGCAGCAATTACCTTTTTATATATTTTTTAAGAAAGCATGCACAATTTCAAATAGATATTTTTCTTACTAAATTTATTGAACTAAAATTATTTTGAAGTTATTTCCATTCAGTTAAATTATCCATATCACTGCCAGGAACATATATTGCAGGTAGTTGTATATTTAATTGACTTTGCAAGAATCCATAAGGAACAAAACATAGAAAAAGGAAACACCTTTAAAGTAAATGTTTATAAAATAAGATAACAAGGAAAGGTGATTTTGGATGCATATCACACAAAGTTATCACTATAATATTAAAATTGGAGGGGAAAAAAGACTAGATTATCCTAAATTCCATTTCAGATGGCTTAGATGATAAAGTAAACTGAAGGGTTAATGTGCAACATATGAATTCAAGACAGTATTGGGGGAAGACTTGTTTACCTCCGGTGATAAAGTGGCCCTTCTATGTTAGTATTTCTCATCTAGCTTGTACAACTGAAAAGGTAAATTGAATTCAGTAGCCTTCCCCAAACGTTATTGAATGAAACATGTCTGGATCTTGGCAATTGTGGTTTTGGTCATTTTCTTCACAAGAGAACCAGAACTTTTCATTAAGCAGAGTGACCCAGTAGAAATTTCTGCAATGATGGAAATGTTTTATAATCTTCCCCTGTCCCAAAGGTAGCTGCTGGATTTAGGCAGCTATTGAGCTGCTTAACAGGTGGTTCTTGTAACTATAGCACTGAATTGTTTTCCTTTCATTTGATTTTTTTAAGATTTATTTATTTATGCATCCAAGAGCTGGGGTACAAGCCAGAGGTGTGGGGGGGAAAGGATTCACCAGAGACAGAGTGGGTAGCAGAACAGGCACAGTGACTGAAATCACTGCTGAGGGGAGCAGCGGGCAAGATAGGAGAGGTCTGCTGTGCCAGGTGGGTTTCTCCCTGGCAGGCCGGGGATCGAACTCGTGCTGCAGAGGCTGTGGATAGCTTCAAAGTGCGGTGTTTAACCCCTTGCGCCACCAGGGAGGCCCTCCTTTCATTTGATTTTAACGCAAACTTAGTTAATCATATGTGGGTAATGGCTACCAGGCTGCATACTAGCTGACTCTGCTCACATTGTTCTGCTGACTGGACATAGCCTCCTGCAACACGCCACTGCTGACCCTGAACTTAAGGAGAGCTATAGGAGGTTGCTCTATCTACCAGTGTTTTCTTAAGTCATAAAGATAGAGGGTTTCTTAAGTGTTTAAACTCATACACACTGAGGGGACAGCACTAATGAAGAAAACACTTTTGCCTCCAGGGGATCCGAGTATGAGCAGCAATACAACTTAAATGTGCCCTTGAGCTCACATCTTAAATATAATGAGAACTTTTGTTTGCAAGGCACTGATAGCTCTAAAAGTCTCCCACATGTTCTGCCCTTTGTCACAAAAACCAACTGAAACAGTCCTAGTCCAGAAATCTTTTCATCACCCCACTTACTCCACTTACTTTCATCATCTCCATTTCATCACAGGAGAATTTTTAAATATAATAAAAATAGTAACCAGATCTTAGAGGGTGTTAGCTTTTGGAGCTCTGAACTTGTTTTTGTTTGTTTGTTTGTTTGTTTGTTCAGTTAGTATCCAAAAAAGATTTGTTGATAAAATAAATTTAAAGGTAAATGAATGGATCATGCAATTTCATAATGTCCTTACTGCTTCTCAGAAGAAGCAATTTTAGCAAATGCTTAAAAGTCAATAAATATGTAGTAATCACAATTTTATCACAGAATCACCACTTCTTGTTTCATTTTTGTTTTATTTCAGAAGCTCTTGAAAATTACATCAAGTGACCTGCTCACCCTCAGACAGTACAACCATGAGCAATAATGCAACAGACCTAACCACTGGATTCATCTCCTCTTCTGTAGCTATTATCTTGTTTGGCTCAAACTTTGTACCACTTAAAAAATATGATACTGGTGATGGTAATTATCTTTCATTCACTGTTATACCTTACATTATTTTTTAAATGTGAAGTTTTCCTTTTTGGTATTTTTAAATAATGGCTATATAACTAAATTTTGTTGAACCTGACATAGGAATAGAACTTAAAATAAATCATTTGATAATAGCCATGCAGTTTATCTGAGAGCTGGTCAGTATAAAATAATCTGATGATTGTGTTTTATGGTAAAGCCAGGATGGACATTGTCAGGAAAACGTTTAAATATATGTTATGTTTACAAAAGAAGGAAATTAGTGCTACTAATAACACATTTGAAAAACACAAATGCCCAGGATCATTTATAGAATAGAGAACAAGAATTCTGTTTTCATAGGGCAATTTTGACTCTGACAAAACATGAGATTGAACAAAGAAAACCACACCCAGATAAATGAAGATGAATAGTAACACACAAAATGTGCTCACACATCCCTCCCCCCAAACATTTACCAGCAGCCTCAGTTCCAGCACCACACTTGTCTACACTTGAGTTAGAACCCTCCATCCACCCCCTTCACAAAAATTCATGATTCCAATGCCCACTTCAGTAAGCAAACTTCAGGTCTTTTTCAAATTAAAGTGCTTTGTTTATTTTAACATTTGTGAATTTCTTAACTTCTTAACCAGTATAAAACTACACTACCATTTTTATTGGTTTCCTATCGCTTTTAAGACATTGTTGAAGTTTTTGAAATTGTGCCCTTAGCCCAATTTTCCCCATTAGCTCATCTGCATTAGCTCATCACCTATGTTCAACTCTAACTGTATGAGGTCTATATGTGACCATAAATGATTTTATGTTTATCCCAAAGGTGGCATATATGGCACACAAAGGTTTAAATAGCTGTTGGGATATAGTCTGAGGGGATAGCACTAAGCATGGCACCTGAATAAAATAAGATTTGGTTTTGTCGGTACTCTTTGGTAGAATATTCTTGATTTGATTAATAGTTGGAAATAAAATTTAAAAGATTGTTAATCAAGAAATATGTGTGTGTGTGTGTGTGTGTAGAAGGCTTTCCAGCCAAACAACCTAGATTTAAATTCTAATTCCACAAATTATTAGCTTTTTTCATCTCAAATGTATTTTTTCTCTCTTTGAGCTAGAGTTAACTATAATGTAGAATACTTGTGTGAATTATAGTAAATATGAAAAGTGCCTGCAGTCAATAACTTCTGGCCTTTCCTATAGTAATAGCTCCTTGATCTCTCTGACCACCAATTTACACAAGTCAATTTGAACCACTGATAACTTTCTTTTATTTCCAGGTATGTTTCTCCAGTGGGTACTTTGTGCTGCCATATGGTTGGTCGCCCTGGTGGTCAATCTGATATTACATTGCCCTAAATTTTGGCCTTTTGCAATGGTTGGGGGCTGTATTTGGGCAACAGGTAACGCATGATACAATTTATTATTTAAACATCTAATGCTATGTTCAAAATAACTAATTCACAATAGAAGGAAATAGCACAGAGAGGAATTCTGAATAATGCTTAGTCATAGATACTAGAAAGTAACAATTTCATTTTTTTCATTCAAATTCTTCATAAATATTTTGGTGCATAGCTTATCTCTTTCTACTTAATGATTTCTAAGTCCCTATTAGAAAATAACTATAGTAAAAACTGTTTCCATTGCTCTTGCTCTCTGTCTGGTCAAGCTTAACTCATATATTTAGTTAGGTGTTCTGGTCTTTCTCTAGCATGTTTATTAGAAAATACTTATTAAATAGTAGTCACTACTAATATCATGTGCTTACTTTAGGAGTAAGCAAACACAGACACATTACCACATAAAAACTTCCTTTTGTTGTTCTATTAATACCTAAAATTAAAGAATTAGAATTTATAACATTGCTTGTCCACCTGGTAATGTTTTCTTCTATTAATATAAATACAGCCTAGCAGATCTCTTCTCCTTTAACAAAGAAATTTCCAAGTACCAAGAATCTTTAGAAGTAATTTGACTAAAAGCAAATAAATTTTAAATAGCTAAAAACTTATTAGTGCCCACTTAATTTGAATCTCTGAAAAATTAACTTATTTAGAGAAGTTGGAAGACAGAAAAATTAACTTCTAAATTCCCACTAGAATTTAATTATTATATTTCAATTATACTTTAATGATTGTGTTTATTGTGTCTAATGGGGAGAGGAGAACACAGAAAGCACATAGAACTTTATATTCACCTAGCAGGTTCCTCTGGACTTTAGCGAGGGAAGGGTCTAAATTGAGAAATGTTGCAGATGTGGTTGCTAGAGGTCATAGTAACTGATTAGAGATGAGAAGTAGAGGAAAGGGAGGAGCCAATGATGATGAAGGGATTTTATTCTAGGTGAGTGATTGAGAGTGGTGATACCACTGACACACATAAGCAGAGAGAGGGATGTGTTTGCAAGAGAAAATAATACTTTCAGCTTGGGACCTTCTGACTTTGAAGGCACTGACATTTCCACAGTGGAGGATCTCTATTAGCAGTTTGGAGCATAGCACTATAGCTAAAACCATGAAATTAGACCAAGCACCCAAAGCAGAATATATCAAGGGGAGAAATGTGATCAAAGGAAAGTATTTAGGGGGCACATAACTCCAGAAGTTATGACAAGACAGATCAGCCAGAGGAAAAAACACTAAACAGAGAAACAGAAGAGAATCAGGAGCTAAAAGCATCTTGGAAGCAAAGAGAGAAAATTTTTAAGAGAAGTTTGTAAGACTGAGGTCAGACAGACTGCTGAGGGGTTAAGAACTACAAAAATAATCAAGCATTTGGCCCTGAGTGCCCCTCCAGAGTACAAAATAATGAATGCAGAATCCAGATGATAAATCAGTGAACATGGGAGAGCAAAATCTGGGACTACATTGGGCCAAAGACTTCTACCATTGGTTGACTATGGGCTCGAGTCTAAAAAAATGGTCACTACTAATTTTATCATTGACAACTTAGGCAAAAAAGTCATAGAACAGAGAGAGGCCTGTATTAAATTTGAAAAGCATTGGTACAGTTAGGCAAGGTGCTAATTCCACAGTTTTCCTGGTAGGATTTCCTCTGTCTAGTTCTTTTAGCAATAAAATCATGCATTTGACACCAAAATGTAGTTATTTTAAAAGTAAGGAAATGTGCTTTACTAAATTCTTCCAAATACCACAATCTGCAGTTATAGTTAAAATTTAAATATAAAAGGCATTTTCTATATTGAAAATAACACATTTCTTCTATGTGTTACATCTACAGGGAACATTGCTGTTGTCCCAATTATCAAAACCATTGGTTTAGGCCTTGGAATCTTAATCTGGGGATCATTTAATACCTTAACTGGCTGGGCAAGCTCAAGGTAAAACAAAGCAAACTATTTCAACGAAGATTCTCTGCACTCATATTGTATATAAGATAAGTGCTAGTGGTTGGCCTAGCTGAACTGAATAACATTTTCTTCTTACCCTCACAGAGATTACAGCTGGTAAGACATACACATAAAATATGATTACTATTTGTTCTAAATTCTAAAGAAGGGATTTAGGTATTTGATGAAGATAAAGAATTATCTCTAGGAAATGGAAGTAGGGAAAAAAAAGGAAACTGACATTTATTTTCACTTTCTTTGTATGACAATTTGCTGAACATTTTATAGGCATCATTCTCAATACATTTTCACAAACATATGGGGTAAGTTCTATCTTAGATGAGAGCTGATATAGAAAGTGTTTCAGTAACTTGCTGAAGGTCCCAGAACTAAAAAGTCAAGATTCAAACCCAGTTCTTCTAGTGCCAAAGTACATATCCTTTCCCTCTAAAGACTGGGCCAGGGTTAACAAACTATAACCCAGGCTCCCAGTCAGTTTTTTATAAATAAAGTGTTATGGAGTACAGCCAAACTCATCCATGTAAGTATTGCCTATGGTTGCTTTTACACTACTGCAGCAGAGTGGAGATTCCAAAGAAGAACAATGGTCCACAAAGCCTAAAATATTTATTTTCTATCTCTTTAAGGGAAAGTTTGCCAACCCCAGCTCTAGTGTGGGAGACCAAGAATGTTCCCACAATCCAGATATGGCCATCTCTATTTTAAGTTAAATTAATTACAGGTTGAAAAGTAAACACTCACGTCCTCAGTTGCACTAGCCACTTTTCAAATGCTCAGTCTAGCTCCCTGGTGGTCTGGTGACCAGGATTCAGCGCTTTCAAGTGCTCGATCTCCAAATATGACCAGCAACCCCACTGGATTGTGCAACTCTAGGACATCCTGTCATCACAGAAAGTTCTATTGGACTGCATTGCCCCCACCATTCAAGTTGAGTTTGGGAAAATTAGTAGAAGGGAGGATGTAAGTCTTACGTTGTCAGACTCCACTTCCCACTCAAAGAATTATAACAATCTCCATAGAACAAAACAATCTACCCTCTAACATATTCTTTCCTGTCATTTGCATATCTCTATTCTGCCCTTTACAGGTGCTGTTTTCTTTTTCTTCTTGACTTTTTAATCTCTTGCCCACTGCATGGTTTGCAATGACTGCTAGTAATGATCACTACATTATCAAGGCATGGTGAAGCAAAGAGAATTTAACCAGGCAGTTTCTTAAAAGTCTATTTCAATATTATACAAAATTATAGCCAATAATAATGCAAAATTCCATTAGCCACTAAATCTAGTTTTTCTTCCTTCTTCCATAGTCTTAGTAAGAAATGGATACTAACATATACTAACTCATTTAATATCATAAGTAACCTCTAAGTCAGTAGATATAATTACTGTTCCATTAGAAATATGAGAAATTGAGTACAGTCAAGACACATAACTTATCCAAGTCAAAGTGAGGGAAGGACTTGGGATGTGAATCCAGAAATATGACCCTGAGGCTATGTCCTTAAACACTACAATGAACATATATTCAACAATGCCACTGCTGTGACTTTCTCCCTGTCCAGGTTTGGCTGGTTTGGAATGGATGCAGAGGAAGTGTCAAAACCACTGCTGAATTACATTGGAGCTGCACTGTCAGTAATAAGGTACCCAATCGTTTCCAATGATTTAGCTACTCTTCTGAACATCTAGAACACTTTGCAAAGATTCTGATGTGTTTGCCTTTTCTTAAACCCACATTTCATAAGCTTGACATGATTTCTTCCTCAGATTCTTCATTTGCAAAGACAGCCTTGGTTTTAGAGCACAAAAAGCCCTGCCCTGGAGTCAGGAGTCCCAGCGTTTGCTCTCCAACACTCAGAGACCCTCAGACAACAGTTTAGCTGCTTTGATGCTCACTTTCATATCAGTAATAGGTAGAAAATCTTAATAGCAGTTTATAAATTAGAATCAAATGGCACATTATTTTGCAAACTAAAAAAATGCTACATAGATACTGTGCTGGCTTCCTGGTGCCCCGGAAATGGACATTGATTCTCTCTTCTAGTGACTGCTCATCCATCTTTGCCCACTTCGCTGTCCCCTCTTTTTTTTTTTAATAGAGGTAACATTGGTTTACAATTCTGTACACGCTTTAAGTGAATTGGTTCACATTCTTCAAATGTGTGTTCCCACAACAATTTACTTAAATATCTAGTTGTATTTGTATCTGTGTCTGGTTGTATGCATTTATATGAATGAGGATGAACATGGCTTTGGGTTTTTATATGGCAATGTTCTGTCACTAAAACTCTAATACGAATTAGGTCACCTTAAATTCAGTCCCCTTTCCTCTCTAAATTCCATTTATATTCCCTGTCAGTGCCCCACATAATGGATAGCACTGCCTGGAAAGATTTTAGTTCTTTTTTTATTCCCCAGGGAAAGAACACTATATCTCTTTTCTCCTTATATGATGGTTTTTCCCCAGCCACATTCAGGAACAATCTCTTTGTCATTGAAATGTTGCCTGAGAGAATGGTTCCAGGCCAATTGGGGAAGAAATAACATAGATTATTCTAAAATAGCAGATTCCTGACATTTTTGGTTAGAGGCAATTTTATGTACTTTGTCCAATTTATACAGCATTGTAGGTTTGAACAGCTCTCTCCAAAACAATTTCTTTATACCCCTGAATTGTAATATAACATGTCTTAGTTTTGACTAAAGTAATTTAAGACAAATTGACCCAGTCCATCCATCAGACATTGTTTTTCTCTATATTTCTTCTTTCTTTAGAAAGAGTAAATTCTCTAAAAATTGCATATCAATGTCTCATGTTCTACCACTTCTACTTATGTCACCTTGGGCAAATCACTTTATTATTCCAGTCTTGTTTTCTTCATTTACAAAAGGGATAATAATAATACCAATTCACAAGACAATTAGAGGATTAAATGAAGTAAAATATGTTAACTGTTTTGTAATATGCTAAGCACATGCTTAATGCTATATATGTCGGGCAATTTTCATTATAATTATTTTATTAATAACTATTTTATGTTCCATTATTATTTCCCCTTCCAGCATTTGTTGTTCAACCCTATATTAAACTTATTAGTCCTCAGAGAACCATGTCACTTGCCTTGGCATTTGGTCTGTGGCAGGGAAACACAATGCTCTCTCTCTGTGATGGATCTGAGCTCCCTTGGATGTTTTTCTCCTGATGATTTCCTGGAACCTTTCATTTCATTATTTTAACTCAGTTAAATCAGTTTTGGAGCTTCATAGTGTAAAGAAATTTGGAATACAGTTATGTTGTTTTAGGATGTTACTTCTCTTTGTTTTTTAATTCAAATTACTGTTTCTATTCTCTGTATAGTCCAGGTTTTAAAGGAAATTCATGTGGGGGATTATAATGAGATAGGTCAGGTGGATCAAAATGCAGAGATCAATACGAATCAAAAGGAAAGTTAAATTACATATGGATTATGGAAATGTTCCGATTTTTAAAGCTAGTGTATGAGATTGAAATAAGGAAGCTAACAAGGAAATTTATAATTTTTATATGAAAGATAGCATGTAATATGCACTTTGCACTATTCTATACTTAAATACCTATTAATACATAATTTCAGGGCCTCCCTGGTAGCGCAGGGGTTAAAGTCAGCACTATCAAATTATCATCGCCAGCCACTGCAGCATGAGTTCGATCCCCAGCCAGGGAGCTAACCCATAGGTGCAGCAGACCTCTCCTTTCTCACCTGCTGCTCCCCTCAGCAGTGTATTTCAGTAGATCTTCCTGTTCTGCTCCCCACTCTGCCTCTGGTGAATCCTCTCACCCACTCCCCACATACACACCTCTAGCCTATACCCCAGCTCTTGTATGCATAAACAAATAAAAATAAATCTTTAAATAAAAAAATACATAACTTCGGCCTCAGATGTATTTTGAAAACTACTTATATTTTAATTTTTGAACCATGCAAATATATTTCAAATAGGAAAGTCAGGCCTATACCTAACTTGTTCATTTTCTTTTGTTTATTCCATATTTTAACACATTTTAACATATTTGCTTGGTTTAAAAGTCAATAGTTCTGTGTATTTGTTATAAAAGATACTGAATATGAATAGAAAGTACATTATGAGAGAGATATTAAAGTAGAAAACTCATTAGGCTTATGAGTCTATTTTTATCTCTCAAAATAGACTGGAGATCTTTCTATATTAGAGCATAGAGGACCTTCTCATTCCTTTTTAGTTTGTCCAGTTATTAAACTGAGGGTGTTATTAAACTTTGTCAATAGAATAGACGAGAAATAGTATATCAGTGTAGGTTTTATGTATGTATATATACTACATAAAACATGCATACTCTTTGTGTTTTCATGTTTGCTTATTTTGCCATATGATTCCAAGGATAAGCAGAAATAAAAAGAAAAATGAGGGCCAAGGAAAATCAGCAGAAAGACAGGATTTGAGAAGAAAGTTTATGAGTTTAGCTTTTAACCTTTTGCAATTAAGAACAAGAGACATCAAAGAGAATGACAGTCGTGGAGAAGTGGCAGGACCATTGAAGAGGCAGTTTGGAAGTAATGATCAATATTTGTAATCATCATATTATTTGGGCTTGATTTAAACCATTCTAGAATTCAGACAGCTTGATATTAATGATAACTATGATAAATATCACTAAAACTTATTTTCTTTCCAGTGCTTTTGTGTTTTTGTTCATCAGAAGTGAAATACCAACTAACACATGTTCCACAGACACCACACCATTAATAACAGAGCATGTGAGTATAAGACAACTTGTTTTGAAATATACAAGAAAAAGAAAATTAATCGATTCATAGGTTTGAAACATGAGATGGTGATTTTCATTTTAGTCAGAGTTATATACTGTATAGCATTTTTATGAGAGCTAGTTCTACATAGCAATCAATCAAATTTCGGCCATATCCTGCTCTACTTCAAGGTAAAGACAGGAAATATATAAGGAATCACTGATTTAACTTTAAATAATCTTAAATAGTTTGAAATAGCAAATCTGCATTAAATATGGACACATTTTAAGAGAGACCTGATGCAGCACAAGCACCAGTGGTTTCATATACAAAAGTGACTTCAGGGTAAACCCCCATGAACTCTGAGCCCACAGTCCAGTCTGTCCTAGTTCAAGTCTCCCTTCTCCTGCCATGGCCAGTGCTGGAGGTGCCTCGGGACTGGCACCCACACCCCCATTGAACTATTGCCTCTCTGAAGATGCTACCTCTACTCTTTATGTCAAAACTAAATTTTCTTCACCCTTCCTTCTTCCCCTACCAAAACTCTTTTGGATAACTGATATCTCGGTTAAATTGTCACTGAAGTTAAATAATGGATTATGTGTAAGAGGAAAGGAGGTTTATTAATCCACAGGCACTAGTAATCAGGGAATATTTCCGCAGGAATGAAAAGTTAAGGCTGGGAAGATTCCAGGTATCCCTTGCCTACTTTTTGTTCCAGATACCTATCAACCATACTTCAAGGGAAAATGAAATAAATGCAAATTGCTAAAAGATACGTAGTAGGCTAGCTTTTTCTAAGCAAGGTGGAAGGATATAAACAAACTAAGCTTAAAGATACATAAACAGCACTGACTGTCTGTATTTAACCAGACACCATAAGCTCCTCACAGTGAATGGAAGCATGATTGCCAAAGAAAAAAGTAGACTTAGCGCATGACAAAGAATACAAATCTAGTTTCTTATCTCTTACAAAAGCTGGAGGAGTATCGCATCAAGAAACTTCTGCTACAGGCAAAAATGATTACAGTCAATAATAGGAATATTATTAATTGCTCATAATTTTTCCTGACTTAGAAGATTAGCCTAATCCTGAAACATGGTTGGAAATATTTCAACTAATTACCTTAAAAAAAATCAGAGTGGAAAAATACCTATGGACCTGATGCATTAATAGTAGAAGAGTTTGAGTTTTCCTTGTTTTAATTTCTTTATAGGTAATTAAAATAGTTAATGAAACACAAGAATTAATACCTTTTTTTAGTTTTAATAGGTGTATATCTATATATTAAAATGAAAAAATATAAATGAAGAATTTGCCAACTGTCAAAGCATTTTGAATTAAACCTCTTTAATTCAGAATCAGAAGCAAGTGAGTGTAAAGATATCTACAGAATCAGAATGCATAGTATATAATGCTCATATTTTAAAGTGTGTTTAGGAGAGGAAAGAAAAACACTGAGAAAAAGCCATTGTCACCAGAGTGATTACCAATAGAATGCTATTTTTTGTTTTGTTTTGTACCAATATTTTCAATAGGTGATCAACACAACTCAAGACGCCTGTCCTGACTACTCCTGGGTGGATAAATTGTCTACGGTACAACACCGCATAGTGTAAGAAGAGGTTTGGTTATTGTGTCTCATATTGGTTAGAGCAGTGGTTACCAGAGTGAAGTGATATTCACCTGAATTCACAAAGAAAATGGCAGCCCAAACTTTGACTCCCTTAGCTCCAAGGTAGAGAAGTTTCTTTATTCCCTGCTGAGTGTTACAGTAAAGGGGACGTTGGTCTCAGTGTTTAAAAGAATGCCTAAACCACTGCATTATTCTAGCCAATAAGCAACCTCATTTTTAGAACTTTTGTGACTAAAACAAAAGAGGTAGTTTAGGCCACAGAGTATAATGCATCAGGCATCGCCATTGTATTAGGAAATGCACTTCTTCAGAGGTGCCCCACCCAGGAGGCCCGCTCTTTGCTAGGAATCCCTCCTCTCTAGTGGATATTCATTGTCAAATACAATGGAGTAGGTTGTGTCTATAATGGGTCCTCCCACTGTCTCCATAAAAACTGGGGGAGTTGACTTCACATCAGCTCCTATATTTGAGGGGTTTCTTTTTTGGCAAATGAATATGAAATAGTGAATAGTTTGTATTGTACAACTGATGACTAGCTGGGATTTTATATGATGACCTTTCTTTTGCTGCAAATATATAAAACATTTCCACTTAATATACACAGTAAGTCCTCACTTAATGTCCTGGTAGGTTCTTGAAACTTCAACTTTAAGCAAAACTATACACAAGAAAGTAAGTGTTGATAAGATTGTTTTGTCCATGAGGAACTTTTTCCTCATTGATTTTAGAACAAAACCTACATTGAATAGAATGACATTCATCAAGGTCCTGCTGTATACTCCCCTCATAGTGGGGAAGAGGCAGTGCCTGGCACATGAGTGCTCAGTAAATATTTGAATAAATGAAAGAATGATCTAACAAGCAAACAAGTTTGGAGGAAATAATATGTTACTGTTTTTGCTTCAGAATGAAAGAGATCTCTCAAAATATTTTTTTTCACAAAGCTCTTTCTTGAAGGGAGTATTTGTGAAGAAAAACATTTTTAGGTGTTTTATCAATAGGTAGGTCTGGTCTGTGTTCGGGACACTCCTCCGTCCTGATTTCACTACAACACAGGGATTTCCAGTGTGGATAGTTTATTGCCAAATTGGCCCCGAGAGTTCTTCTAGTCTCATATTCCTTAAAGCACTATTAAAATAGACTAAGAAATTGTTTTCAAGCTGGAAAGGGGATAGTGTTTGCCTAAAACCCTTTCCTATTTCATGCCATTGTCCTTTGTATTAAGTTAAAAGGACTATTCTGAAATATTAAGCACTTCCCCCAAAATCATTGAAAATTCTTGTTTCGTGCAGATACATCCCAAGTCTAAGGAGTTAACAGGACTCTTGTGCTTAAAATAAAACATTTTCTACTTATAAAAGTAATATTTTACTTTAAATATCTAGATAATTTGCTTACATTAGCACTTCCTCTTGGCCATGTTAACTAAGGCATCAGTAAGTCTGTGGATCCCAACAGCTGTTTTGAACAAATGTGTTTGGTACTTAGTCTATCCTAGCCCTGTGCTAGATCTTAGTTTTTAAAAAAGCAAAGGTAATAGTGTCTGTCCACAAATACCTCATAATTTAGAAAGTCAGGTTTATGTATCTAGACTATATAATATCATTGCCATGTCCTCATTTATATAATGACAATTTATAATGATAATCTATCTGTAAATCAAGTACTTCCAAATTAGACAATTAGAGACTAAAGCTCACCTCTTTCTTAGTTCTGATGCCATTTTGATATTACTGGGTTCTTCTATGAGTTCTGCCAGTCATAGACCTTAAGATAGCTGGGCAATACCTGAATAATTGCTTGCAATTTCCACTTGGAAGTATACTTATCATTCCGTGTGTGTGTGTGAGAGAGAGAGAGAGAGAGAGAATGAGAGAGAGAGAGAGAAATATTGCTTTGAGTGAAAATTAATGGTGATTTGTTTTTTAAGGGGCTGTAGTCTGGCAGTGATATCTGGGATACTCTATGGATGTACATTTGTGCCAGTCATTTATATCAAGGATCACAGCAAAAGAAATGATAGTATCTATGCAGGGGCAAGCCAATATGGTGAGAGTAAACAGTTATTTTATCTTATAAATAAACTCAATGCTTGTTTTTCTACTTAATATAAAGAGGATGTGATTATAGTAAATACTAGTATATAGCTTTGATCATGCGTTTTCATTGAGTGATAAATTAGAAAGACTGAAAATTAAAAGTAATAAAAGATTATTTGAGTATTTTATGTGATCTTTAACATAGAAATATATAGTCAACTTTAGTCAGGATACATTTCAGCGACTTGGATCTTAACACAGTTTCTGGCTTTACAGTAAGATTTGAGACATTTTCTAGTTAGATATTCTCTGGGGAAATATGTATTCTCCTCTTTATAAAAACTAAAGTGTAGTACATAATACTTTAAAATTAAGTAAAGATCAAACTATGCCTTCAGAAAGGTCAAAATACAGCCTATTTAGTCCAAGGATGTTATTTCTCAAGCACAGAGTAATACTCTGAAAGGTTCAACATAAGGTTCCTTAATTATCTCTGATTCTAGTATAGTACTCATCTCCTAGGCATAAACTCACACTCTGCAATACTCTGGGTCAGACTGAAAAGAAAAATGACAGAGAATCTACGTCAGAGCAGGGGCCCTATAATTATGTTGAAACATGGCTTACAGCCATGAGATAATGTGAATGAAATCATGGATAATAAAGTTCTAAATCAAATGGCACAGAAAGTAAGGGAGTACACAGCACAATTCAGATAAGGAAGAAGTCTGGAGGCCAAAAGCCATGATGGAAAGACTGATGAAGCTGATTTGAACTCGACTTTAAGTGAGTGATAGACATTGAGACGATCTATAGTTTATCCTTCCTTTTAATATTCTGCCCCATGAACTGTACTCAAATCTTATTGATCACTCTTTTTTTAAGATTTTATACAAATACTTTTTGCATTTTTTATTCTTTTTTACTTTAAAGTGAAAAAAACTACAGAAATGGAAGAATGTTAGATTAAAAGAGAAAAACAAGTATGGAAAAAAAAGTGGAACCAAGAAAGAACCTAACAACTTTGTGCTACACTGTATGCTTACTAGAACTGAGTCATATATTTGACTCTAAGATATCTTATAGCACCAGAGTAAATTCAGAACACAAGACAAAAATAATTGCTCACTATGAGCACAGTTGTTGTTGGTACTGGGCTATAATAAACAACATTCTTAACAATTTCGTTAGTAAACAGAACAATCAGTTCTTAGGACAATTCAAATGTATCTGATAATGCATTTTATTCCAATTTATTACAAAATAATTGGGGGAGACATTTTTTATTTCTTTTACCAGATAGGTAGTGCATGTTCTGTGCTAGGCAATATTTTAAACATTACAATAGCAATTATTATGGTTGGATAACATCATTATCTTCATTTTACAACTGAGAAAATTAAGACAGAGATTAGGTAATTTGACCAAGTCCCAAAGGTAGCAAGTAGTGGATAAAGGATTCACTTTGAGGTGGTCTGTGCTTTTTATCCCTAAGCTATGCTGTCTTTTGTGGGGTCATAGATGGATGTGTTGTTTTTACATGATCCAGAAGTAGGATTTAGTATTTTAGAAGAATAGATAAACTCTTTGTCCCTCAAGCCTTCCTCTCTAAACATAACCATTCTTCTGGGTCAAAATATAGGTGACAGGACCATTAGTCCAATGTGGCCTTCCAGCCAAGAACTGTTAAGCCACCCATCTGTGTGACCAGACTAACAGTTGGTGGAATTGGGGTGTCTCAGATATTGAACCACAATCCCTTGCTATTAACTCCCCTATTCAACTAGGTTTATAGTAAATAACTATAAAAGCCCTGTGGAATTAAAGTTCTGTGGAATAACTTTCAGAATATCCTGTATAATGAAATCTGCCACAGAGATCTAATCTGGTCTCTAGCTTGATCAAGAGACTATATAAATTTAGGGCCCCAAAATATTTTCACACCCTCCCCAACTATATTTTACTTGGTAATTTGCTATCATTTCTATAGTCAGTAATATGAGGTCTTAATACCTATTTAGTATTAAAATAGTTGCATAATTTCATACTTACTTAGCATTCAAGATAATCATTAAAACTAGCCTTTTAAATATGATTCTAGTAACTAATTTGCTACTTAATATTTCTAGGTTCTAAGTATGTTAATTAAAATTTTATATAAATATGTCAAAAACTAGGATAACAAAATTTAATAGTCCCTTGTTTTAAAGAATGATTTTGATTTGCTTTATTTTTATAAGTCGAATGTACTTGAAATGACTAAAATGGTACTTGAGAGTTTTATCATCTCTATTTTCAGATCTAGACTATGTTTTTGCTCACTTCAGTGGAATCTTTCTTACAAGTACAATCTACTTTCTGGCCTACTGTATAGCAATGAAAAATAATCCTAGACTGTATCCAGAAGCAGTCTTACCAGGTAAGAATAGTTACTACAGAGAATTTTCTTATTATGTAAAAGTATTATCCTCCTGTCATTTATTTTTTTTTAATTTTATATATTTTTACATCATTTTCCATTTTTACACAATGTATGCATTTTCATCTTGGTTATATTCCCCACACAATTCCCACTCCCCCTTATTTTGACCTTAACCCCTTCTCCCTTCCCCCGCATAGTGTGTGTCTGGTTTATAGTTGCTTGTTGATTTTGATTTTTACTTTATTATAATTAGTCTTTCTCCTGGTTCCTTATTTAGGTTTTCTAATTTCCTGCTCTGAGTGAGACCATCCGGTATTTTCCTTTTTCTTTCTAGCTTATTTCGCTTCCCCTCTCATTTAGCTTGAATAACTGTCTTCTGGAAACCGAGCTATCCTCTGTATGTGTGTTCACGTCTTGGTTCTGTTTACCACCAAATATGAATTATTTAAAAGCCAGTGAACCTTAAAGAACAAAATTTTAAACAATGAATCTAAGACCTTTTCCTATGCCAAAACATTTGTACTATACCTCAGATTTATTATTTCTTCCTTGCTATCTAAGGATTCACATTAAAAGTCAGAATCCTGTGACTCTACTAAAAAACAAAATGTATCAACAAATAGGAATCTGGAGTCACTTGAAAAAACAGTTTCCTCCCAAAGTCAGTACAAATGTTAGAGAGTTAAAAAAAAAGGGCGGGGAGAGATCTGTTAAATGCACTATTTTGGACTCAGTATATAAGACATTATGGTAAAATTATATATTTTTTACTAATTACTAAATTATAATTTACGAAATATAATTTATCATTTATTCAAGAGTTTACTATAATTGGATTTGGAACACAGGTCTACAAATAAAATTTTATAAAAAGCAAAATAAAACATAAGTCAATCATTTTCAATACACAATTCATGAAAGCCAAAATATAGACCATGTAGAACCTTATAGAAACTGGTAGAGTATTTTCTGAATGCCTTGCTCAAGAATCCTGAAAATTTTAATTGATATTTTCATTCAAATTTTAGGCATTTTTTTTTCCTTATTGATCGCATTATCCTGAACCACATTTATTTTCATGTTCATGGTTTAGAATAAATGGTGTTTGTAGGGCATGTTCAGATCCCATATCTTTCCTAGGTTCCTCTTCGCCCCCCCAACTTCTCCTTTGAGTACCATATTTTAACATAAATAAAGTGAAAGTGCTGAAAATTACATCCATAGTGAAAATCATTTGATTCCCAAAATGGTCATAAAACACCTCTGTTGGTGGCACAGGTGGTTGAGCACAGTTCTGTGAAGCTGTCCGCAGCATCTGCAGTGTGGGTTCAATCCTGGCCAGCCAGGGAGATACCCACATGGCACTGCAGACCTCTCCTGCCTCGCCTGCTGCTCCGCTCCGCAGTGTATTTCATTCAGTCTGCCTGTTCTACTCCCCACTCTGTCACTGGTGAATCCTCTCACCCTCCCGCACATTGGCCTGTACCCTGTTCTTGTATGCATAAATAAATAAATCTTAAAAAAAAAATTCATGTTGGCCAAGAATGTTAGTGAAGAATGCATTTATGCCTGCACTTGAACATTCCAGCTGTACCTGGAGTGTTGATTTTTCAGGAGGGGAAAGTGACTTGCCAACAACATGCGGTGTCTCTGTATTTCAGGGTTCCTCTCAGGGATTCTCTGGGCCATCGCTACCTGCTGTTGTTTCATAGCTAATCACTCTCTCAGTGCCGTGGTCACTTTTCCCATAATCACCGCTGTAAGTAGCTGAATTGTTTTTCTAAATCTTTGTTTTTCAAGGTAAATCTAATTTTCCTGAAGCATTCTTAGTGAATCACTAAAGGCTGTCGTGGAGGTTCATGTTTTTAGGAGTAAATTTAGATTCATAGATTTATGGAAATAAGCTAACACCCCCTGGTTTTCATGTCCTCGATTGCTAAGAGAATGTTTCCAACCTCATTTTAGTGGGTTTATTAATTTCTAATCTATTAGAGATTTTGGTTAATCATCTTACCTAATGTCACATTGGATACATTATTATTCACTCTTTATAACAATGTTCATATTGTTTATGTAACAGTTTTATGTATTATAAGGTTTATTATATACAATGCATTTTTACCTCTGTTATCACACTTAAATTTCATGACAACGTTGTGAAACAAAGTGTTACTTCATATTCCTCCTCATATGTAATTTAATATTTTTATGATTTTATTTTATATAATTCTTACATCATTTTTTCATTTTTGCACAATGTATGCATTTTCATTTTGGTTATATTCCCCATACAATTCCTACCCCCTTTTTCTGACCCTAATTCCTCTTCTTCTCTCCCTGCCCCCCACTGTAGTGTGTCTCTGGTCTATAGTTGTTTGTTGATTTTGATTTTTACTTTATTGCAATGTAATTTAATATTTTAAAGAAAAGTTTAAAAAAACCTCTGATGGCATTTATCACAACAAACACAATACAATGTCCAGGTCTTACCTGTTAAACTAAAAGCTGAATCAGCCTATCCAGAGGGTTCAGTTTCTCAAGATGTCTCAAACTTACCTTGTATTCAAAGGCTGACTTGAAAGATGTGTCATTTGTTTAAATTTACAAAAAATGTGCAATCCAAATTGCCCAAACAGTTAGGTCTCTTATCTAAGAAGTTCTTACTATTTGACTCTCCTTTGCTGACATCAGAGTCTACACATATTGACTTCAGTTTGCCATTCTTTCAGCAAAGTATCACTTCCTATAACCACATAACTGTCACAATAACCCTTAGATCATGTCCTAACTAATATTTAGGAAATAATCAGCCAATAAGCCTCAAAAGTCAATGATACCTTTTGGTATTGTCTTCTACTATGTACTCTGAAATGAATTTCCAGATTAAAGAGGATAAACATTCTTGAGTGATTTGCATGAGTATTAGTTTTATATCCTCTATTGTATTATTTCCTCCCTTTCTGTCCAAAGTCAGTATGGAGTTGCCTTTAGGATCCAGATGCTTCTTGTTTGACTTGGGTTTTGAAACTTAGGACCTACATCATCCGGAAAAGATAGTTCCTTTGACCTATTTCTTCATTTCTTCTGATGTTGGCTTTTCCAGATGCTGATAAACAGAGTAATATATTTTATTGTTTCACTTAATGCCAGAAGTGGAGTCAAAATTTGATGACCCAGTGATTTAAACTATTGGAATAGCAAAGGGGAAAAAACATGTTGGAACTGTTTATTTGAAAGCCTTCCAGAGTTTGTGAAAGGTTTGAAGAGAATATTAAAGTGCTAATATAAAACACCTCCACAAAGACCACAATTCATCCAAATTCCAAATTTTTTCATTCTCAGCTAAAAAAATTAATAAAATCTAATTGCTTAATGGTTTCAAATTGCAGAAATTTGAAATGTGATTTTCCATCACATTTCTTCTCATTACCTTTGACCTGTATTATTTCATTCCTGTCTTTTTATCCTATTTACTAACCCATTGTTTATTTTTCCTTACATGGCTTTCCTATCTTCCCATAATACCATCTTTGGCATTTACTAAAGCTTAACATGAGACATAGTTGATCTCTGTGCTATAGTATCAATTTAAAACACATTTTTTTAACCACGTGCTGTTTCCATAGGCACCTTATTTGTCAGGCCAAAAAGAACATACTAAAATTTCTTCAGTAATGAAATTGTCTTAGGCCAAAGAAAGTTATGTTTATTCATTCATTCTTATTAATCCTTTCTCTAGTATCCTAAAGACTTAGTTAGATAGAAAAATAAATTATTTATTTATTTAAATATTTTATTTTAAATAGAGCACATTAAAGAAAATCATTCTATGGCATAAAATATGACAGTATCATCAAAACAATAAAAATGAAAATCATAAAGAAAAAATCTTCATTTCGTATTTAATGCTACTTAGTTTAATGTAAGTTAGGGCTGAGATTACAGAAAATTTATTCTGATGATATTGTTACACTGTTTTATAATAGAAGGTTATTTGATTAAAGTATCACATCAGAGCTCTAATTTATTATATTTACATACAGTAGTTACAGAAAAAGTCAAATGAATCAAAGTTCTTACTTTTATTTAAGGGTCCAGGACTTATAGCTGCAATGTGGGGTGTCTTCATATTCAAAGAAATACAGGTACGTACCAGAAATGGCACATCTAGAAAATAGAAATAGAGCCAAGTAAGGTTATTTAATATTAAGGTTGTGTTATTTTCTGAAAACTGCATTTGACTTCTAAACCAGGGCAGAAAATACATGAATGGATGTAATAGGTCAAATGTTCAAACTGTTGTCTTTTCTAACTAGAAAATAGTCAAGATATAATAATGATTATCAAACAGTTTCTCTCTATCCCAACCCCCAGTAGAAGACACTTTAACTTAAATTTCATTTAAGAGATTTTATTTTTATCATCCAGTCAAAAATGACAGAGGCTGACTGTAGAGTAAAAAATAAACAAGGTGGAAGATTTTTTTTTTTAATCCCAAAGGTTAAATATCCCTAAGGCAAATGGAATTTGGGAATAAATTTTTATGTTTGCCCTGATAGCTCCCAAAGGTCTCCATACCAAACCAGCAAACTTTGTAGGGAAATAATATGGCACCCAGTGCCTATGTCTTTTACAATGTAGATGATAGTGGTTTTAAAATTACATTCATCAAATAGTTCTGGGATGTATATTTGTCTGTGTTTTCATTACGAATTGTTTCAGTTTTTTTCCCATTCACCTCTATTTGGAAAAAGTTTCTTAGTTGAGGAATATACATATTTACATAGTGTAAATAGTGTTTTGCAATAGTGTTTATTAAAAAATACAATCTAGAAACAGCCTGTCTGTCAGTGTTTCTACCAAATAGAGAACAAGATGATCTATTGTATATATATATATATATATATATATATGTTATATTCAAAAATCTAAGTTAAAAATTCTGCTTCAAGGAGAATGTTGCTGTGATCTTTCTATAATTAACAAAAGAAAACTATTACTATTGCCCAAAATAAAAAGTAAGAAACTAGACAGTTTGGGCAGGTTCTAGAATGTAGATATCATTCTTCTTTCTACATAAATGGTAAAATAAGAAAATTAGCAAAGTATTTACATAATCAGTTTGTATAATGCTGATGATTGTGGACCCATGTACTGTTTTTTCTTATGTAAGTGATTGCATTGATTGTCTAATTCAAATAGTTGCATCAATTGTCTGATTCACAAAGCACATTCACCTAAGTGTATCCATACTTTTTTCTGGTTATTTTTTATTAAAGTAATACTGCATTATAACAGTCTATGTTTCAGGTGGGGGTTATAAATTAGCCTCTATATATTCTAGGTCAGGTCACCACTAAAAGTACAGTTCTATCCTTCACCATACAATTACCCCTTTTAACCTAATTTACCAGCCCTCTTCCCCCTTCTCGCTGGTAACCACCGATATGATCGTATAGTCTCAAAGTTGATCTTCATTTCATTTAGTTTATTGGCTTGTTTTGTTTCTTTATGTATCACATATGAGTGAAATCATATGGCATTTCTTTCTCCATCTGATTTATTTCATTAAGCATAATACCTTCTAGGTCCATGCATGTTGTTGCAAGTGGCAGGATTTCATCTTTTTATGGCTGAGTAGTATTCCTTTGTGTGTGTGTGTTTGTGTGTACACACACACTACATCTTTATCTAATCATCTGTTGATGAGCATTTAAGTTGCCTCTAGCTATAGGCAATTAAAATAGTGCTGCAATAACCGTGGAGGTGCATATATCTCTAGTGTTTTTGTGTTTCTTGGGAATACCCAGAAGTGGGATAGCTGGATTATATAGAGTTTCATTCTTTAAACTTATGCTCTTTGAGTGCCTACTCTGTACTAGTACTGATTTCTAGTCCTCACTGTCTTAAAACTAAGAAAAATACGTTAGGGAAATTTTTATACAGGAGTGTGTGTGTATGTGTCTGTGTGTGTTGTTCTGTACTTGGAAGACCTTCTGGTTTTATTTTTCGACTTTATCATTTATATGAAAGTGACTTCTGATAGTGGAGTTGCTTACAGTGAGTCAGACAATACAGCTTGCCCTAACCCAACCTGCAAAGACCTCTCTCTAGTCATCATCCACTCTAGCCAAGTTGATTGGCATTAATATGAATGAGAGCTGATGATTGCATTATTTGATTTGACTATCAGGAGCTCTCAATGTAATTTTAAAACATATATCTGAATCTAGAGAGGCACTAGTCCTGTTTTACTTTGTGATGTTCAAACCTTACCTTAGAGTCCACTTACTTTGTCTATATTTAAAGAGGGAAGTGGAAAACCTGGCAATTATTCAGAGGGGAATGGCCAGGACAGTAAGGGAAGCTGAAACCATTTTATATAAAAAATGGTCACAAGAGCTAAAATACTGACCAGGAAAAAAAGATCCTTCAGAGATATTAGACAGTTATTTTCAATCTGTGAGAGTTTATCTTGTGAGAGAAAGATTAGAATTGATCTCTGTGCTCTTAGAGATGGAATTTATAGTAGATAAATATTTCTATTTAACACAGTAAGATATTTCACTGTTAATGTAAAGACAATCTTGGAGTGGTTATAATGTTTCCATCTTTCAGACCAATGCAGCCAACCATATAGAGCCAGGCAAGTCAAATGGAGTCTCCTCCTCACATTAAGATTTTTCTCTACATCTGTACTTTGTCATCTCTCTCTCAGAGGATGTAGCCCCCTGCCCTTATTTGTCTCTTTGTATTTGTTCTGACCTCCCTCTTCAAAAAAGTATGGACTTTACAAAACACAAATTTGAGCCTTTAGTTACATCCAGATGCCCATGCCTTTAATGTGTTCTCATTGCTTGGGGGGAAAACCCAAAAAACAAAAATAACAAGGTGGCCTATAAAATCTCCTCAGGCCCATAGTCCTTAAAACTCATCTGTTCACTTAACTCTCATTGTTCTAATCACAGTGAACTTTTTCTTGTCCCTGACAGGTAACAGGCTTTTGTGGGGGTTTTTGGTTTGTTTTTGTTTTTTGATTTTTTTTTTACATCAGACCTTTGCACTTAAGTTCTTTCTACCTGCAGCTGTTCATTGATCCTTATAGCTAGAAACTCAACACTTCAACTTTGCATCACACCCTTAAACAACCATGGTCTTTGCTTAATAACACCCCTGTTAATTTTTTTTAAATAATAAATTTTATTGTTATATTCCCCATACAATTGCAGCCCCCCCATTCTGACCCCAATCCCTCCCCTCCTGCCCCCGCCCCCCTAAAAGTGTCTCTGGTTCATAGTTTTTTGTTGATTTTGATTTTCACTTTCTTAAAGTTATTCATTTTCCTGGTCCCTTATTTAAGTTTTCTAGATTCCTGCTATGAGTGAGACCATCCGGTATTTTTCTTTTTCTTTTTGGCTTATTTCGCTGAGCATGATCCCTTCCAGTGCCATCCATGTTGCTGCAAATTGCATGTGTTTATCTTTTTTGAATGCTGAGTAATATTCCATGGTATATATGTACCACATCTTCTTGATCCAGTCATCTATTTTTGGGCATTTGGGTTGTTTCCAAAGCTTAGCTATTGTAAACAGTGCTGCTATAAACATAGGGAACACCCCTGTTAATTTGTGACATTATTTTCTGTGATTACTTTCATTCCATTGTCCCACATTATACGATTAGCTGAAGCAGCACACATTTTCACTCACCAACTTTTTTTGTTGTTGTTTTGCATAAAGACATTTTATGTTTATAATTAATGATGCCCCTCATATATTTTGTTTCTGATGTCCCAGTCACTGTTGTAAACACCATTCCATGTACTATTTATTTCTCATCAGAATCCTGTTTGCTTACCTTCTTCACCCCAGCACATGTTGAAGGGTAGTAGGAACACACATGTACTTACTGAATGGATGAGTTGGTAAGGATTCTATGGGTTTTCAAGAGAATTTGAATGATTACATTGACGGACACACAGGTGACCAAAGCAGGTGGCTAGTACGGTACCGAAAAATTAAGAGTTTGTGCTTTTTATACATATAATTCAGGGTTTCTTGATTGCAGTTATTCTCTTTTATTATTCAGGGTCTACAAAACTACCTGTTGATGATATTTGCATTTTGCATCATCTTGGCTGGAGTCTTATGTACTGCTTTTTCTAAACTCTAATAACCACAAGACCAGCAGATGGCAGCAGTGGTTAAAAGAACAGGTCTTCAGGACACTGGAAAAACACTGAGAACAAGAGTTCATTTTCATACTGCCAATGGATCTCAACTCCTCTTAGAGTGGGTAAATAACTTTTTTCACCTCTCTGAGAATGAACGAAAACTGAGTTTCAATGAAGTATAAAATCGAAATAAAATGAACTATTTATGAAGATGGGATTTCCAGGATGACTAAAATGTTTACATTCTTATACAATTACAACTGTGGATGCTCCATTTGCCACGCTATGTACATAGTATTGTTACTAGGAAAGACTGTGAGGTTCACATGCAAAAAATGTACAGCCCAATTTCCCAACATATTACCCTCATTAATGAAGAGAGGCAGAAAAATGTGGAGAAGAGGAGGGAGACTTCCCTTATCATGGAATTAGAATCCAAAGATGTCTGGATCCTTTGCTAGAAAAAGTAAATGTCAGAGTTGGTAACTGAATCTTAAAAAGGCCATTTCTTTTTTTTTAAGGCCAAATTTATTTTTATTCCAAGTTAATACTGCATCACCCACACATCTTAGCTCACCATGTTTTTTTTTTTATTTATAAGATTCATCCAGACAAAAAAGTCCTCCCATTGAGAGTATGTCTGTAATACCTATGTACCTACACCAGTACACACACATAAATACACTCACATGGATGGACACACTAGTCCAAATCTGGGAGAAATGCTAGAGATGCTACAGTGAGGTTTTTGCTAAAATATGCTTTCCTGAAATCTCTCTTTTAACTGAAGGTTTTCTTCATATTTTAAACTGGGGTTTCCACTGACAAAAGAAAATGATAGACAATACCAGTTTAATTTCTTTAGGAAAACAGAAATGGAACTGCTAATATGAAATTTATTTTGAGAGTTTCCAAACTCCAATCAATGTAAATTTCACCCACTGAATTATCCCTTCTATTTCTTCCCCTTCTCTATTCCCTCCCCTCCCTTTCTTTTCCCTTGATCACTATTCAGAAGTCACAGAATAGCATTCTAGTGTTCAGCTCCATGGATTTAAATTCCATTTCTGCTTCATCTTAACTGTGTAACTTTGGCTAAGTTCCTGAGTCCCTTGTATCAGATATCTCATCTATACACTGGGGGCGATGACAGTATCCACCTCGTATGGCTATTGTGAAGTACAAATTAGTTAAAATCTGTGAAGTATATTGAATAGTGTCTGCTGCTTGACAAACATGTAATTCTTAACTATCACTATTTTGTATTGTTTGTAAAAGAAAATACATCTGTGTTTTGGAGAATGCCTTATAAGTTACTGCCTTCATGACTACTCTGTCCAAACAATTGCTTTTTAATCTCTCTATGTGAGCAAATATTCAAAATGATACTGGAGTTCCTTGTTTAATTGTTGAATTGCTAACATAAGTAAATATTTGATTATAATAAATTATAAAATCTTGTTTTATTTACCTGAAATGTCATTAATTATGCTGATAAACCTTGAATAAATTGACACAATATGAAAGCTATTTTTCTTATTTATATATGTTTAAACTTTTATATTGGATAGCATTCAGTTGCTCTTTAGTTGAGACTGCCAGTTAATATGCATAATTTTAACTGTGAAGTAACAGAAGTGCAGGAAGAAATATACAAAAAAAATCTAATTACCACTAAAGTTTCTACTACTAGGACAGGCTTATACTGCATTAGCAAGAGTACTATGGAAAAAAAATTTTACAAAATGGTTACCAAATAACTTATTATGTAGACCTTAGTCTAATTGAGTGCCAAATCTCCACTCTCTGTGCACACCTCAGAAAGTTAACACCTATCTCTCTTAAGGCTTTAAGGTTTTGTTTTTCCTTGCATAGAAACAAAAATTTTTGTGTTTATTTTTATTTTTTCTGGTTTGACTTCTGTAACTGAGTACAAAGGCAGCCCCACCTGAAGTAGGGAACGAGGTGACCAATGAAGCTGGCATCTAGGTTGAGAATTTTCTATAGAAACAAAAATTCCTAATGAATTTTAAAGAATTTGTACTTCATTCCCCAAGTTACCCAATCTCCCCTTTTTCCTGTTGCACTAATTTATTCATACTTAGAGTTGCTAACTATTAGAACTATGTGTATCAATATTGATAGAACTGGAAAAGGCAAGTTGTAGAATATGTGCACATTGTACTACCATTTTGGTAGGTTTTTAAACATCTCAGTAATATATATTTTCTATTGATGCATGTGTATGCAATAGATTAGAAAATATATAAACCAAACTTATAATAACATTTGCTTCTAGTAAGGAAAAATGAGGTCAGAATGACTACACTGGGGTGAGGGTACACTTTAGCATTCTCTATAATACTCTAAGTTTTACAGCAATGAATTTATATATGTATTTTTTTAAGTATTAAAAGAATTAGCAACAAAAAACTCAGAAGCATATGTCTAAATGTTAGAATAAGTCTGGGCAAACAATGAGATGAATGTTATTTTCCTCTTTATTCTTTTTTTTCTTTCTAAAATTTCAAAACAAGTATGCCCACACACAATAAAAAAAAGACAAAGCTGGGAAATTCTCCAGTGTAAGAGTTCCACCTTAGGAAGGCAGAAGCCCGAAGCTCACATTCTGAACTTCCTTGGAGTACGATGTATTCTGCCTGACTGGTCTCTCTGGAAGACCTGTAAAGCTACCTGATAAAGTTGTTTCAGAAAAAAGGTCTCATTAAAAAAAAAGTCACAAATATCTTATGATCTATTTTAATCAAATTTCACAAGGTATAATTTGGATCCAATATAATTCGACCATTTTAAGTGGACAGTTGCTTTCAGCTTTAGCACATGTACATCTTCATGTAACCATCACTATAACTTAGACTCAAAACACTTCCTTTTACCCAAAAAGTTCCCTTATGCACCACTAGCATTGACAATCCTCACAGCCCAGGCCACCAGCAATCTGTTTTCTGTCACTCTAGAATACCTTTGCTTATTCTAAAATCTCATATAAGTGGAATCCTATAATATGTACCCTTTGGTATTTGATTTCTTTCTTATAGCCACTGTAAACAATTTATGCTATCTAAAACAATTAAAATTAATTCTCAATTATTTTCCCTAGCAGAAGAAAACATATGCATGTATTCAAAATGAAAACTAAAGCAAAAAATGATTAACAGGGCCTCCCTGGTGGCCCAGGCAGTTGAGTGCCCAAACTGTGAAGCTGTCCGCAGCCTCTGCAGCGCGGGTTCAATCCCGGACGGCCAGGGAGATACCCAAATGGCGCGGCAGACCTCTCCTGTCATGCCCACTGCTCCCCTTAGCAGTGTCTTCCATCAGTCTGCCTGTTCTGCTCCCTGCTCTGCCTCTGGTGAATCCTCTCACCCTCCCGCACATCTGGCCTGTACCCCAGTTCTTGTATAAATAAATAAATAAATCTTTTTTTAAATGATTAACATTTGGAATTGTTATATTTAAGTAGGCAATGTGACAGTTCTAGAGATTCACTGCTTTGTATTAATGGTGTAGCGAAGAACTCTTAGATGCACTTTGAGACCATCTCCAACTCTATAATGTACTCTTTTGAGGATTTTATAAAATATTAAATGTCTTAAACCAGAAGACCTCCTTTACTACATGTTAAGAAAATATGCTATTCTTGCATTTCCTACACTGACCAAATAAATTACAATTTCTGCAGCTGAAAAGTGTGAATTTTCATTTTCATAAGTGTTCCTGTGATTCTTATTGCACTTGTACTCTAAATTTTTGTATTTGTGTATTATACCTTGATATTTAAAAGATTTCAAGGAATGAGTGGTTCTTAAAAAAGAATATTTTGTCTTCCAGTCTTAAAGAGAAAATAAAAAAACAGGTATTAATTTTGTGAGAATTTTCTAGCAGGAAAAATGAAATGTTTAAAATCAATCTGTTTAAATTTTTGTAAAAAAAAAAATAACAATAATAACTAGGCAGCACATTACCTCTCTTTTTTAGTTCAAGACAGTTAACTTTCATACGCTGAATCACCTCCACAGAGGTTTGTGGCTCTGTCTGTTTCTATTCCTTATTCTTCAGGATGATATAATCTCTTTCTTCAGTAATAAAACCTCTAGAACAATTCATCTCAACATGAAAACAAACAAAAACTCCCATTTCCAAATGGAAATTTTCCAAGTTCTAATGAATTATATCCTGGAAATGAACCGGAAAGGGAGGCAAGACTAGTTTCTTGGGTGGAGACAGCAGACTGCAACAAGCAAGATATACTAACTTATTAGAGCATTACACATGGTGGAAGGTCCTGCTAAGATACACTAAATTTTCTTTTCCTTTACCCACAAGGTACTTGAAAGCAATGCTAACTCATTAATACCTTATATAACTAAGAATTTAAAAATCCATCTTTCTTTCAGACACCTGAATGGTTTGGTTGTATGAATATCACCTCAAATGTTGTTTTTTTTCCCCAAAGATTTATTTATTTATACAAGCACTGGGTACAGTCAGAAGTGCAGGAGGGTGAGAGGATTCACCAGAGCCAGAGCGGGGAACAGAACAGGCAGACTGACTAAGTACACTGCTGAGGGGAGCAGTGGGCGTGGCAGGAGAGGTCTGCCGCACCATGTGGGACCCTCACTGGCGGCCGGGGATCGAACCAGCGCTGCAGAGGCTGCGGGCAGCTTCACAGCCCAGCGCTCAACCACTGCGCCACCGGGGAGGTACTCAAATGATTCTTCAATAAAGGTTTTATTGTATTTATTCTCCAGAGTAGAAGTTGCTTTATCTCTTCTTACAGCTCAAGAATCAAGCACAGTGCATGGTACACACACACAAAAAAAAATGACTTTGTTGGTATAAACCCTAAAGAAAATCTTAATTGTGCAGTCCGGAATTTGTTAGCCAATGATTCTTTTAAAAACAGCTCCTTAGCCTTCCCTGGTGGCGCAGCAGGTTGAGTGCAGCTCTGTGAAGTTGTCCGCAGCCACCACGGTGCTGGTTTGATTCGTGCCCGGACCCAGGAGATTCCCACATGGGAGATTCCCACATGATGCGACAGACCTCCCCTGTCTCGGCTGCTGCTCCCCTCAGCAGTGTACTTCGGTCCTTCTGCCTGTTCTGCTCCCTGCTCTGTCTCTGGTGGATTCTCTCACCCTCTCGCACCTCCGGCCTGTGCTTCAGTGCTTGTATAAATAAATAAATCTTTTAAAAAAGAAATGAAAAAATAAATAAAATAAAAACAGATCCTTAGTAATTGACTGCCTCATATATTAGATATGTATTCAGTGGTTTATTTGTATGTGAGGCACAGGCAAAGCATTGGGATATACCAATAAAGTAGCCATGGAACTCAACCAGAAAATCCCAAAGATATCAAATAAAAATCTTGGTGAACTATAAGGGAAAACTGTATGGTGCACTCAGGGGATATTGTAAGGGGACATGATCATGAAAGATAATCCATAAGGTTTTAGCCAAATTGGTTGCTCACACTGAAACCAAAACAATATGAGAAAATTTTCTATTCTAATGGTATTTTAAAAACATATACACAGCAATTGATTTTGCAGCTTTGCTAGACTCAGCTATTAGTGCTAATTTTTTTTTTATATATTTCTTAGGATTTTCTATATAAGCAATTAAAATGTCAGCAAATAGAGTTTTATTACTTAATTTTCAGTCCAAATGCCTTTCATTGTTTTTCATTGCTTTACTGCCCTTGTTATAACCTCCACTAAATTTTAAATAGGTGGTAAAAGTGGACACTCTCATTCCTGATCTCAGGGAGAAAACATCAGTCGTTCACCATTAAATATAATATATAAGCCTTCTATACAGTGTTATATTTAATTTGCTAAAATTTTGTTTAAAATTTTTACTTATTTATTCAAAAGGAATATTGGCTTATCATATCAGGGTATCACTGGCTTCAAGAAGTTTAAGAACTGAGTATTCTTCCTTGAACGTTTGGTAAAATTCACCAGTGATGTTAGCTAGGTAGGCTTCATTTTTTTCAACAAATGTAGGGGGGACTGGATTATCTATTTTTTTTATGAGTGAACACTCCTAGTTTGTGCTCTTTGAGCAATTTATTCATTTTACATGTATTGTAGAAATGATTGGTATTATATTGTTCATGATATGATATTATGGCTCCCTTTCATGCTTGCAGGATACGTAATGATGTCAGTTTCCCCATTCCTGAAATGGGTAATGTGTTTCTTCTTTCTTACTAAAGATTCTACCTCAAATTACATCCATTGTCTTTACTCAACAAAGTTTTATCTATTGTTTTTCTCTTCTATTTCATTGACCTATATATTGTCTATTCTATTTCCTTTAGATTTTTCACTTGCTCTTATCCCTCACACCCCTCTCGTTCTAGAACTCCAATTATACATAAATTAGGCTGCTTACATTTTACTCTCTGATTCTCTGCTCATTTTTCATTCTTCTGTTTCAGTGTGGATAGTGTCTGTCGATTGTTCAGTTTTCAATTTTATGCTTCTTCTTCAGTATCC